TTTCCCCCCCCCCCCCCCCCCCCCTCTGGCTTTCTCCCCGTGAGACCCCAAGACCAGGGCGTGCACATACACACACATACACCGGGGACCGACCGCCAACGTGTTGAGCAAGTGTCAGCCACACACACACACACACACACACACACACACACCTTTGTGCTCTTTTTTTTTTTTTTTGGAAAATGTGAGAAAGTGTGAGAGATAGAGAGTGTGTGTTCTGCGCGATACAACACATTTTCAGAGAGAGAAGGGTTAAAGAGGTGAGCGTCGTAAGCATGATACATAAGCCAATTCAGAGATGTGTGCGACATGGAAAAACTGTCAAGCACAAAGTGCGTGCTGCTCCCTCTCTTGCCTTCCTTCCGCCCCGGTCCCCGCTTGCTCGCCTCGAGCCTTTGCGTCCAAAAACCCATCGCTCTGTCGCCCTGTTGTGGCCTTGTGGGTTGCTCTGCCGTCTTGTTGCCCTGCCGTCGTGTTGTCCTGTTGTCGTGTCTCCCTGCCGTCTTGTTCTCGTTGGCTTGCCTCGGAGATCACCTGGTCACCCCATAAATCCCAATGGCGGCATGCAGTTGTGGCAGCTGCTAGGGCTGCCTGAGCCATTCCCTAAACCAATCAAGGAATGTGGGTAGAATCAACCCATGGTGTCCCAATACATCCCTCGGTCCCATGAAAGGTGAGTTGAGCTGCTGCCGGCTACGTTTTGGAACAGACTGGATAGTTGACTGATGGGCAGAAATGCCCTTTACTCACCCCAAGCCATGATCCAGTCGTCAACCGTCCAGGTTATCCGCCGAGAAGACGGGCCGTCCAGAGGCGGCGCTGCCATATCCGAATGTCCCCTCTGGGCATGAAAAATCCTATACCTGTCCATGGGTCCGACACCACGTGGTAATAGAGAGAAATTGTCAGCAAACGAATTGCAGCAATCTGCAGTCATTTGCCATCATCAAAGCGTGAGAGAGGCATTATAAAATTATATCCTCTTACTTTAAACCAATGTACATTCTATTATTAGATTAAGTTTGTTACCTATGATGACTAGGCCAGATGTTCGTAATACGCTCCTCCTCGGCCCTTGGACGCCGCCCCCTTTTGCTTCTTGCTCCCGCCTGTCGACGTTTGTGTGGCTGTGAGTGTCCGTGTGTACGTCCGTCTGTGTGTGCACACGATGTGTGTGTGTGTGTGTGTGTGTGTGTGTGTGTGTGTGCGAGGAAAAGGTGCAATCGTAAATTCGGCGTGTCCTTTGGCATGGGGTAGCCTTGAGACCCCATGTCCATTATGACCCTTCGGCTGCCATACCCCTATCAAAGGTTGCTTTCCAATGGCGATGCCAATACAGACTCCCACCCGCTCAAAAGCACTCCCATTGCAGTCGCGGCTCCTCGACCGTGCACACTACAGATCCGATCCCCGCCGAACACACCTTCCAACGCGCCTCAAGAACCTGTCAACGCCAGGGGGGCACAGCAGCAAGCCCAACCCTTCTTGCAACCACCACATCATCGATCTCCGTTTGTTTGTCCTCTGTGGTCCTTCCTTTTGTTTTATCCTTTGTTTTTATCCTTTTGTTCTTTCTTTTGTTCTTTCTTTGTTCTGTCTCTCTCTCTCTCTCTATCTCTATCTCTCTCAAACTCTCTCTCTCTATCTCTCTCAAACTCTCTCTCTCTATCTCTCTCTCAAAAACTCTCAGACTCTCTTTCTCTCTCTCTCTCTCTCTCTCAAACTCTCTCTCTCCTCTCTCTCTCTCTCTCTCTCTCTCTCTCTCTCTCTCTCTCTTCTCTGTTACATTTTGTGACGCTGCCGTTGTGGTGTTGCTTGTGCCCCGTGTCGCCGGTGTCGTCGGTGGGTCCGCGACTGACTGTTGCAGTCCAGGCCGGGGGGTGGGGGAGTGTGTTTGGTCTTGGTGAGAGGGGGGGAGTGGTGCTTGAGTATGCTTGTTCAATCAGAGCTTCAGGACGTGAACCTTTTCGCGAGAACGGTAGGCTTCTTCTGGCGCGTGCGCGAGCGATCGCAACATTGCCGTGCACCCACCCCGTCAAGGGCTCTCGCGTCTGGGCTCACACGATGATGTCGCTGGGTCACCAAATGCCACACATGCGCAGCCAGTCGGACCCTTGATACGCCGCCCCATGCTTTGCCTCGAACCAGCCTGGCCTTGATCATGATGTCCAAGACCTCGAGCCCCTTTGTTGGTGGCGGGCCTCGTCATCTGCCTCTGTTGTTTTTCCCTCTCCTCTTGCTGATGGCCTGGACCTCAACTCCCGCTCAAGGTAAAAAGCCAACCCCAGTGCTTTGCGTTTGGGCCAACGGCTCATGCAAAGGTTTTCGCCCGCCTCTTTCATAGCTTTTGGCGGTGCCTGGGGTGGTGGTCTTGGCCTTGGTTGCCCACCCCCGCCGCCTCCGCCGCCACCAGGCACCTTTTGCCCCCGCTCTTTGGGCTGTAAAAATTTGGGGTGTGATGCTGGTGAAGTTTGCTGTCCTAACTGTGGTGACTACTGGAAATGTTATGGTACGTTTCCACCCGCTTCGCGATTCCACTTTGCCCCAACGCCGCTGCCTTACTCGGAGCCTGTTGCGTCCGTCCCCATTCTGAACTTTAGAAAGCTCATCAACAGAAGAACAGGGTGTGTCAACGCCCTCTGGGCTTTCCCCGCACTCTTGCCTTGCTCTTGCCTCCTGGCCTCTCCTCCTCCTCCTCCTCCTTCTTCTTCTTCTTCTTCTTCTTCTTTGCTGCCTCCTTCTCTGGGTGACCAAAGCTAGGCATCGATTGCGCCGCCCACACCAGTGCCTCGTCTCACCTTTTGGCGGTCGCAACCTTGTAGTTTACTGTGGACCTGGCACGTACCTTGGCTCAGGTTCCTGCCGCCCCTGTCCCGAATGTAAGGAGTCGCAAATGCCACATCACCCCAAGACCCAGGGGGCTTGCAACCTGCGTCAAGTTGTCCATCAACCCTTCTCTCACAAGGCCTTGATTGATTGCATCTGCTCCGCCGCCAGTCACGTACATGAGCACCAAAACACATCAAAACGCTCAGTGCAATGCAATGTCCTACTGTGGCACCGGTACCTACGCCTCATACACCAACCCCGGCGCCTCTCGCGACCTCATTTGCCTGTCATGTCCTTCGGGTATGAGCGTGGATCAATTTGGCCTGCACTTCCTCCCCTAATTAAACAACTTTTCCCTGCCCAAGCGCTCCCGAACCAACTCACACCAACACATGGACCTGCCAACCTTTTTAGAGTTTTTCCAAGACAAAGCACAGCATCGCGATCAGTCCTGTACTCCCTTTTTCACCTGCGGGCCAGGCGAAGGACTATACTACGCCTCGGCGTCGACTGCAGGCACCTGCCTCGACTGTCCTGCCGGTATGTGTTAACGCTCTCTCGGTCTGGGATTTTGTCCTTGTATCTGCCTCTTCCGGCCACTTGCTGTGTCTATGTCTCTCCCTCTTCACCCTCTCTATGAGCCTTTTTGTCTGTCGTGCTGTTGTGCGCGTGGATCCTGCACACAACTGAAAGCCCAGCTGATTCCGACCGGTGATTCATGTGATAGGGTCATTTTCTGAAACCACCTCCAACGAAGAATGCACTGGTCAGCAGTAACAAACGCGATGGCCGCCTGACGTACCAAGTTTTGTCCACCTAGTCTCATTCAAGCGTATCAACCATCTCAGCGTGTGATGCAGGCAAATACGCCCAAGATCCCCGCTCCACAAAGTGCACCGATTGTGCCTGGAACAGTGTCGCACCTTCCAGCGCATCCCCAAGCTGCGTTGGTATGTGTTGCTGGCTTCTGCATGTAGCATGCTGAGGCAACGTTGCCTTGGTCGGGCAGTCACCTGGACCCATGTCGCAGACTCACTGCTCACACGTTCTTCTCCATTGTCAAAGACTGTGGGGCCGGTCAGGTCGCCAATGAGGCTCGAACTGCTTGCATCGACTGCCTGGCAGGTGAGAACCGTGCTGCCAAACTCCGATCACTTGCGCCAATGCAGGCCAGCCTCCTATCATACACCCAGTGGGTGCCGCTTGCCCACCCTACACTCACCCCGAGGCTGGCTTCCTTAGGCACATTTTTAAGCATGGAGCTTGAACGATGCGAAGCCTGCCCTTTGAATACTGTGTCTACAAGCACACGCTCAGTCGAGTGCCAGGCGTGCCCTGCACACCAGGTCCCCAATAGCAACCATGACGCATGCCGGGACTGCCCTGCCGGATCTGTGCCCAACACTGCCGGGACCCACTGTGTCACTTGTCCTGACGGTGCCATCAGCCATGCTGGTGCTACCACTTGCACCCCCTGCAGGCAAGGCTACTATGCCAGTTCAGACCATTCCGTGTGCTTTGCGTGTCCTGCGGGTGCGGTATCCCAGACTGGCGCCGACGCCTGTCTGCAGTGCGACTCAGGCCATGTTCCCAACAGCAACCAAAGTGCCTGTGTGCCATGTGGCCTCGGCGAGGTGGCCGCAACTGGTGCTACCACCTGCACAACCTGCGACCCGGGCTTCATCCCCGACGCCCAGTCTGCGGCCTGCACGCCTTGCCCCGACGGCTTCATTTCTTCTGCCAATGGCAGGACGTGCGAGGCGTGTGCTGCTTGGCAATTTGTCGATCGTGCGAGCAATACATGTGTCTCCTGCACAGGCCAGACTATCCCCAGCGACGATCAAACAGAGTGCATCACCTGCCCCGCTGGAACCCAGGCTAGGAACAACACCGACTGCATCTCTTGTCCTGCGGGGCATGTTCGTGCAACTCTCAGTGATAACCCTTGTGAGGCCTGTCCCATCGGTTCCATCAGCAATGAGAACCACATTGCGTGCGACATCTGCCCATCAGGAACCGTCGCGCTTGAACCCGTCAGCAGCTGTACCCCCTGTCCACCTGGGCTCTATTCTGAGGCGCCCACCGTGCCCTGCCAGCGCTGCGAAGGGGAAACGTTTGCACCACAAGGCTCGGCCACCTGCCTTCCGTGCCCAGCCTATTACTTTGCCAAGCATTCCCATGCAACGTGTGGGACGTGCCCCGGTGGTACGTGGTTTCGATGCGCGCTTTCCCAGAGCCCACCGGCCTTTTTCGTTCATCTTTGCACTGCATCTTCCCTGCCTCATACGCATCGCATTCATCTCCCGCAGGCCACCATCGCTCTGGACAAGATTGTTTCCCATGCCCCCCCGGTGAACACAATAACCAGGGCAATGCGACAGGCTGCAGCCCGTGCCCGGCGGGGAGCATTGTGAATTCCAACCAGAGCACGTGTGAGGCATGCGGTCCAGGGACCGTGCCGAATGACGCAGGCACGCTCTGCCTGCTCTGCACGGATAATGAGTATCAGCCGCTGGCTGGGCAGGTGACCTGCCTGCCGTGTCCATACCATGGGCTGATGGCTTCGACCGATCACCGTTCGTGCATTGATACGCTTCCACCCACCATCAAGGGCTGGGTCGACAATATGACCATTTTGGAAGGTGACTTGACGGCGACCTTGCCTGCTCTGGAGCTGGCCGATAACGTGCCCAATGCCACCTGGGTGGAGTATCCGGTGATTCACCTGCCGGAGCTGTCCTTGGGCACTCACGTTTTCAATTTTACGGGCCGGGACGCTCAGGGCCTTGTCGTTCAGCGCTCCATGACCATTATGGTGCAGAACAACCCGCGACCCATTATCCGCTTCTTTGGTGTCGAAAGCTTCAACGTTCCTGTGGGCCACAACTTTACTGAAGCGCCCATCCAGGCCTACGATAGCGTCGCCGGCGATGTTTCCGAGTTTCTCCAACGAGAACCCGCCCACGTCAACACTGATCGTTTGGACACGATTGTGTTGACCTATACGCTCGCTTACACCAACGAGTACAACCTGAGTGCAATGCCGCGACAGCGCACCGTGACGATCGTCGATCGCGACCCTGCGGTATGCTCACCCCGCCCTCGCTCATTCACTTGCTCGGCACCCAGATGGCTGTGCCCCTGTTCAGGCCCCAACGCCTCCTTCCCTCCTTCCCTCCTTGCCTCCTTGCCTCCTTGCCTCCTTGCCTCCTTGCCTCCTTGCCTCCTTGCCTCCTTGCCACCTTTTTTTTTTTTTTTTTTAAATGGTATTGCTGACCCTTGGTCGTCAACCCAAATACGCATGCGCCTCTTTGACAGGTTTTTAGCGCGCCCACTGGACCCATGGAAATCCGTTCAGGCCAGCCGAGCAAGCCGCCGCTCATCGAGGCGTACGATAACGTGGACGGCAATGTCACTGCCAATGTGTCTGTGACTTGGGGTCTGAACAAGGGGTTCTCCGAGTACACAGATCTGTGTGGAAAGAGTCTGACCGTGGACTCGAGCATGGCTCGCTCCGACGTGCCACTGAGTCTTTTGTTTGGGCTGCGCCCGACCTCGGGCATTACGGCAGACTATCGCTACACGGACAGCTCGGGCAATCTCGCCTCCACTTCCCGTCCGGTCCTGGTGATCGACGATGTACCGCCTCAACTTGTACACAACCTCTCCGCAGGCATGTGTGACGTTACACATGCTGGTGATTGCGCGTTGCTACATTTTGCAGCTACTGCTTCGGATTGGTGGGGCCAAGGCCCCGCGCCTTGCACGCCCTCGGCCGATTTGACCATCCATGTTGTTGAGTACCGGCCCAACGAGCCTTATGTTCTGAACAGTAGCACGTGGAGTGAGGGCCAGCTTTTACCCCTGTGGCAGCCTCGCAGCTACTCCCGCGTGCAAGAGCTCGGCAGAGATGACCTGTTATCTGCTGCGGCCGACGCCACGGTTGGGACCATCTTCGAGGTTGTTCTCGAGGCCAGCGATGTGCACGGCAACCAAGCGGTTGAAGCGTACAATATCACAATAGGTGACCTGGCTCCTCCCACTCTCTCACTTCATGGCCCCATGAACGTCACGCTACCTTTTGCCGCTGCATGGCACGACCCCGGGGCTTGGGCGCAGGATGCCGGTGAGCTTGACACGGTGATGAACGCTGCCGTTAGCTCGAACGCTGCTTGGGTCTTGGACACTCGCCGGGCAGGTCTTTTCAACGTTACCTACTGGGCACGTGACCGTTTCAATAACACTGCCCAACTCCAGCGCTCCGTTGCCATTTTACCCTTGGCATGGCCAGAGGACGAGCATATCGCAGCATTTGAGCTGGCCGAGACTGGGGCGCACGGCGAGTTGCGTAAGGCTGAGGCAGCTGTGGAAGCAGGCTGGCCGGGGGCTGAGGTGTTTATTGATCGGATGCAGCGGTCGCGTCGACGGGCAGTGGCGTATCAGACCAGTGCACGTAATGCTTCCACTCAGGACTGGCTGCCCGTGGAAGACTTGTTGGCGCGCTGGCACCTGGCACAGGCCGTTCTACCCGGTGCAACGAAAGCCGTGGCAGTGGCTGACTTTGTGCCAAGTGCAGAGCGTACACCGCCGTCGACCGCTGGACCTGAATCCGTATCGACTGGCGCGTCCTCTTGGGCTGCGGCGCCTGTAACCACATATGGTGCCGTGGCCGGTGGGGGGGTGGCTGCTGTACTCATTGTGGCCAGCATTGTTCTTATCCGACGCAAGCAGAGTCGTGGACGCGTGGCCACGGCGGATCAGGCAGCGGAGAGCGTGGCCATGTGCGACAACCCGGTGTATGCGGGCGCCCAAGGCAAAGTGCGCTTTCAGACTGGAACGCTCGTCAAGACATGGGATCCCACTTTTTATGATGTCGATCATGCAGGCGACCTCACCCCCGAGGGTGAGGGTTACGGTCAAATGATGGGAACAAACTACGATGTGATTGCAGACAATGAATACGCCATGCTAGATGGCGATGCTCCAGCTCCAGGTGGTACACACGACTATCAGTACATTGCAGCTACTGAAGGCAGCGATGCCTCGGAGTCGCGATACGAGTATGCACCTGCTGGCCACAACGCCAGTCAACCAGGCACATACTACAGTAGTGCTGAGGTTGCGGTGCCTGCACCAGAGTACGGATATGTTGCGCCTGAATCTATGAACGAGGAGTACGAGTACGGAACCGGCTTCAACGTGCAGCAGGACAACGTTCCTGGCTCTGATGAAGCTTACGCGTACTATGCGAGCGGGCTTGTTGGTCCCTCTTCGTTACAAAACGAGAGTGTCTATCAGGACATGAGCGCCGATGACCAACATGCTGCATACGCGGACTTGAGCTCTGTGCCGCTTCCTTCGCTCTCATCGAACACAAAGTCCAAGCAAGATTCGGGAACTAGGGCTGCCGATGAGAGCGACGACGATTATGTGGGCATTGTGGATGAGGCACCGCAAGATAGCTATGGTGCTCGGGTGGTTGATCAACCCGACTATGAGGAGTCTCCGTCGAATGCATTCGGGGCAGTGGATCTTGCAGACTATGAAGTGGGCGCCGAGGTGACTTTGTCACAAGACTACGAAGCTTCGGCACCTCGACTTTCGCTGCGTCCCGACCCCGCCATGCCAGTGGACACGCCAGTTGCTGTTCTGCACGTGGGTCGATCAGAGGCCGAGGCCATGCTGCGTCAGCCCAGCGAAAGCTCGGGATCTTACGTCGTGCGTAAGAAGGGACCAGGGGCCTACGTGGTGAGCCTGCGCTACCATGGCCGCATGCACCATTACAAGCTGAGCCGCTCAGGGCCGGGCCAAGACTTTTTCCTGCAAGACGTGCGTCTGGAGGGGTGCAACAGCCTTGCTGCTGTGATCACAGAGCTCTCTGTGCGCCCCCATGCGCTTGTCACCGTGCTTGTCCGCCAAGCTAGCGAATGCGCAGACACGGCAGCATGAGCTTTGTGTCGCGACATCATTATATTGGCCCGTGAATCGTGTAGATGAACATAATTGATCCTTGACCTCAATTGGGTGCTCGTATATCCAGTTTTCAGTGTTGCTTCAACGAAATCGCTTGCCGGCCAGCGTAGTGGAAGACCATGGGAAACTCTGTGTGCGATTTGTGCAAGTCTCATACTATTGATGGCCTTTGCACCGACCCAAGTTCTTCCCTCCGCCCTCAAAACTCGAACTGGTCTCTGAGACAAATTGAAACGCACTGTCCAAAGAAAAAAGAAAAAGAAATTTGAAGCTTTACATCCAAATTTGTCACGTCAGCTCATGCCTCACATCGCACATTTCGGGGATGGACCGGTGTGTGCGATTCCATGCTCTCACGTCCGGCATCATTGATAACAATGATGCCAACAGATTTTCTGGATATGACCCAAGGCCTTGCAACAGTGGCAATTAAAGATACAGTCGTCAATTGACACAGCAGCTTTGCAAGCTACGACTCGGGAACGCAGAATGATTGACTAAAAAAAGAGCTCAAAAGGATGACTCGAAGCTGGCTTGAGGCTACTCGGCTTGAAAAGAAAACAGCAGTCACTTGGTGCGAACGAGTGGGACATGATCGGCGCCATCATCATCGGTCGAGTCGTCTTCGACGACCGTATCAAGCTGGAAGGAGGTCATGCCAATATCCTGATTAGGAGAGGCCAGGTTCTATATGAGGGGATTGGGACCAATGGCAAAGTTATTTGGGTCAGAGGCGTTCGAGTGTGAACATAGAGCATGGAGCGGATCAGCTTTTTTCCAAGCCGAATGACGTACGTTTCCTGAATCCCCGTTTGTTGTGGCACGTCGAAGCGTCTCTTCTCGACTGAGGTGGAGCAAGAAGACGCCCGCACAAATTGTTAAAAACCCACAGAGACAAGTCAAGAGAGGCGCTGCGCCATAACCACCGGAGCACTCAACAGTGGGCACCACTGTAGTGCTGGCCTCATCGCGGGGCCAGTCAAAGCCGCGGCGCCCAACCAGCGGGGGCGCAGTGGGGCCTGATGGCAATTGCGTCGGGGCAAGCACGTGGCAATCCTCGCCCGACCAGCCGCGAAAGAGCAGTGCGGATGCAACAATAACAGCGGTGGTGAAGAGAACATAGTAGATCGGCGTCACTAAAGCCGTGTTGAATGTGTCAAGAGCCATGTTCAGGTAGTTCATCTGCGTAATAATGGATACGGTTACTAAAGCCACAAAAAACCAGGTGCTGCCAAATATGAGCTGATTGTAGCCCGAGAAGGTCAGCTTCAATGCGATTCCCAAGCCCTGTGTGGTGACCGAGAATGCGCATAATGAGAATTGGATGGAGGTGAGGAGATGCACGATCAGAGAAGACTTTGAGCGTCTCGACTCAAGCGGGTGTCATCTTGCCTTGACACCAATCACGGAGAGCGAGCCAACGATGGAGCAAATGAAGACATAAACAAAGATGTTACGCTTGCCAATACGGGGCGCCACAAAGTAGATCATGTAGATGGCCCCCAAGATGACAGCCGATGCATACAACTGAAAGGCTGAGGACCGTGACAACAACAAATCGGGTGAGGGCGTGGCAAGCCGTGGTGCAAACAGGTGGGCTTTGAAATGTTTTCAGGAGCGGCGATTGGGTGGTTCGAGGAGACTCACGAATATTGTTGAACATTTGATCGGTAATTTCTTGGACAGAGGTGACCTGTTTTTCCTCTGGGGCATTGACGACGATGATAGTGGATCCAAGAATGCACAGAGCGCAACCGACTTTACCCAGCAGCTGCAGTTTTTCATGGAGAATTCGATCAGCCAAAATAGCGCTATGGGTGGGTGATGTGTGATGGGGGAGAAAGTGGAGCAAAGGCAACAAACATGAGCAAACAAGAGGAAGACGTAGGAAAAGCAACATATAATCAAGCTCGGCTCTTTGAGCGAGCCGATTTTGAGACCAAGATAACGGGGGCATTGTCGGACCTGACGATGACGCTCAGGGCCCCAAGCGGCGTGACGAGGATGGCAGGGGCAAATGCATAGGCAGCAAAATTGGCAATCTCACCCCCAATCACTATCAGGCACCAGAAGATACCATGTCAAGACGGCGAGCGAGCGGCACGCGGGATTGAGCACAGGTCAGGAAGAAGAAGACGCACTGGTAATGAGGCCGAGCCACCAAAGGGACTCGCGAAGGTAGGCATAGCCGCCATCGCCTGAAGAAGGGGGGCAGACCGGACCACACGGCAGAGAGAAGACACGATGAGAAGTAGCTTTGAGGCTCCACTGGACTAGCTCATCAGACAGGCGGGGTGTTGAGCCAAGAACGAGGGCCAACCTGCTCCAGCGCCTGAGGCACGGGCTCGAATCAAACCCTTTTTCTTGATGATGAAGCTGCTGCCGATGAAGGCGCTCGAGCTCAAGGCAAGCAAGAGTCCAATACGATTATCACTGTTGTCCATGACGGCGATCAAGATGCCCAAAGCCGCGCGGAAGTGCGGGCAAGGCACGGAAGCGACCAAGAGACCACCACCTCAAGGTCCAAGTGGAAGTGATGACAGCTGAGCGATCCGGACAAGAGGCGGGCTAGCAAACCCAACGAGCTAAGATCACGGGGCCGAAGAAGAAGAGAAGAGAAGAGGCCAGCAAGGGCAGTCGAGTCGGTCGCAACCCAGACAAGCGAGCAAACACTCAAGTCTCGCTCGATCAGAGAGCAGAGAGAGAGAGAGAGAGATGATGGCGCGCGCGTTTTGCCAGCGCGGTTTAATCAACTGGCAGACAGAGATATGAAAAACCCAAGGTACATGGAGCAGAGAGTATGCTCCGACACATTTCTACGGCCAGCTTAGATGATAGGCAAAAGCAGAGAATGCTGCCAAACACGGCATACTCCACAGAGACGAGACGAGACGAGACAGGAATGTCAGAACCAGACCGTCATGTCAGATATATTCTAGTTAAAGGGGTTTGTTCATTTTATCTCATGGTGCATTTGTCAGACGACCGCGTGCGTGTCTCTCTGCTCTCTCTCTCTCTCTCGGTCGCGCGCGTGTCGTCGTGTGGGGCAAGGGCAGTTGAAGCCTCGACGATGGTCAAGTCCAACAAGGGTTCGCGCCGTGCCTCGGGCGCCGCTACCGCCGCTGTGGTGGATGCCGCAACGCCCAAGGTTGAGGTCACACATGGCTACACGGTGCTTCCTGTTCGGATACAAGGTGCGCTGCGCTCAAGCTTCCTTCTCCTCGTCTTTCTCCCTTCTCCTCTTCGTTTGCTTGCCCCCAGGGCAGACCGCATCGCATGACACCTCGCCCTGACTCGTTGGTGTGCATTTGATTATAATGTTGCTGGCCGCTTGTAGCTTCCGGCAAGCTTGTCGACGCGACAGGACACCTGCCCACGCCGCATCATTACTTTTACCTCAAGGTTTGCAAAAGTTGGGCACCCCTTGGTCGATGCGCCCTGTTGTGGACCTCTTTGATCACCATCCAATGCCTTTGTGCGGTGCACCCATGTGCTCGTAGGAGCATGCCGTGCGCAAGCCAACGCCAGAGACTCCCAAACGGCGCACGCTCTTTGTCGTGAACATTCCACATGGCGGCAAGGTGAGCGCAGCTGGCAGATCAATGTTACATCAACCCCCCCTTTCGAATCAAGTCGTGGACGCTGAGTGCACGAGCTTGCAGCTATCATGGTCTCTGCTCATTCATTTGGTGATGTGGTGCCACACAGCCCGTCTTGGCCGAATTTTTCGAGCAATTTGGGACAGTAGAACACTTGAACCTCACAGAAATGACGAGCGGTAGCAAGAAGAAAGGCAACCTCAAGGTAGGCAGCGAAGACTGAGCCCCCCTTTGGCGGCTGGCTCTCCTCGTGCTTTCCTTGTCTGCTTGAAGGCGACAGACATGCCCGTGCAACATCTTCTTTGCTGCCTTTTGACGACGATGCTTCTCTAGGCGTTTCCTGTGGCACATGTGGTGTTCACGGAGGAAGCAGGATTGAATCGGGTCCTCAACGCGAAATATGATGCGACTCGTTTGCTGCCACTTCCAGACTTGAGTGGCGAAGCACGTATGTCTATGCGTCATGCTTTTGGCCGGGCCAGGCATGGGCCCGGGCTGAGCGTAATTTTGCTTGCGCGTCCCTCACTTGTACGGCCTTGCCCATGGACGTGTCTGTTCCCCCAGGGTTTGCAGCGGCATTTGATGCCATGCGACCGGACCGTGAGGAACTGCAGGCCCGTGTTGATGCTGCCGTGGCTGAATTCGATGACGACGAAGCACGCCAAAAGGCCGAGGTAGGGCCGAGACGGCGGCCGCCCGCGCCTGTGATGCCTCTTTTCATTGTTTCGCGTGGAACGGGAGGCGGAGCTCGCGGGCCGTGCTACCGGGCTCAAAAGTCTTTATCAAACCATACTCACCTTTGTGATTTGACCCAGGTGTTGGCACAGGCCGAGCCAGACGAGGAGGGCTGGACATTGGTTACGGCAAAGACACGTACGTGGGCAGGATTTGGAGTCCAGCTTGGCTTTTGGCCTCAAGTTCAGATTTGCGATCGAAAGTCAGGACACCTAATTTCATCCGTGTTATCGCTAGGTACGGAAGAGGCTGAAGAAGCAGAGGAGACGGGTGAGCCGTCACGCAAGCGCAGCAAGAAGAACAAAAAGTCGGAATTGCAAAACTTTTATCGCTTCCAGCGCCTTGATGCCCATAAAGAGAGTACGTGCCGTGCCCAGAACGAACATACACCAGTGACACTGACTGACTGCGGCATCCTGCAATGCTGACGTCTCCCGTGCCCCTGTACATTATCCGTGTGCCATAGAACTGGCCATCTTGCGCAAGCGTTACGATGAGGATCGTGCGCGGATGGAGAAGCTCCGCAGCGCTCGTAAATTCCGCCCCTATTAGGTCGGAGCTGTGCAAATCTGGCGACCATGTGCCTGTGAATTTATCGTTTCGTAAGCTCCTTTAAGTTTTGAAATTCGTCACCAAGGCCTTTTGATGCTTCAGACACGGGCTGCACAAGCTTCAGCCATCTGCTCTTGCGCCTTGCATGCACTCAGCGAGGCGTAGCGGGACTTGCGTCTCCCTTCTGTCCCTTCCCTCCCTCACTCACACACTCACACTCATATTCTCTGTCTCTGTCTCTGTCTCTGTCTCTCTCTTTTTTTTTAACCGGTTCGACGACATCTACGTGTAAACTTTTAAGCACGCAATCACCCCAGAACAAGGGTCAATCACGTTGCAAACGCGTTCCTGGACATTTCGTCGAGCGATCCCCAAAAGTGTGGGGGAGGGCTCACAAGCGCCATCTACCGAACAGCGTGCAGGGCACGATGGATGCGAAAGAGGGGTGGGCTCAAGATCCGCCGGAGAAGCCAGCGATGGACTCGTCCCCATAACTGTTGATGGACTCTAAAGCTCAAGTGTGGTCAACAAGCTGAAGTAGCGCGCACACGTGAATTATTTTACATGATGTTAGCATCAACCCAAGCCCGAACATCAGGCCTGCGTCACCGCTACATCCATGTTCATCCATCCAGATCATCGAATTAATGCAAGCACACCTCCATTCCCCCCTTCCTTCCCGGACCATCGGTTGCCGCCTGGCGCCTAACCCTCGACGCTGTACATGACCTCACGAAACACATACATAGCAACCCACACACACACACACATACATAGCAAAGCAGCTGTCACATCATGTCATTCATTGTCAAACGATGACAACAACCCTTTACAACAACAGTCCTGACCAAACCCCCTTGTGGACTGTCCACTTCGATCTCGCTCTCTCTCTCTCTCTCGCTTTCTCTCTCTCATTCATTTATTTGAATTTGGCAGCCAAGACGGGGAGAGGTGAGTCAGTGCGAAGCGAAGAGCACCATGCTGTGCTTCGACGATTGGTGCATCTGCCAGAGTTACTGGTCAATGGGTGGCAGCGAGGATGCCGATGGCTGGAGGGCTGGCCCTGGTCTCAGGAATGTCCGCCACCATGTGCCTGCTCGTGGACCACGCTGGGGGCATGACGTTGACTCGAGTGCCCATCGGCTGAGCCGCCCCCGCACGCACAGCGCCCGCGTGGGGCTTCCTTGCGGCTCGCCATCACCTCAACCCTTCCTTCGCCCGACCCTTTAGGCTGCTCTCCCTCCCCATCTGCCCCCCCACTGCGGCTGGGGCTGACCACCCGACTTGTTATTATTGTTGTTATTCTTTGAAGGGGTCGGTGCACAGTGATGACACGTGCCCCAACTGCCCGCTTTCGCTTGAATCACGCTCACTCGGGACTTGAAGTTGGCTGCCTTGCCCCAGTCGGCCGTCATCCTCACCCTTGTCCCGGGTCCTTGACGGATCACCCCACACTCCCTCTTCTATCGCCCGCCCTCCTTCGTCTGCAGACTGAGCTGCTTGCGGCAGGGTGCCCAGTTCAACGGCACCATGAAGTTTGGCAAGGAAATTCGTGATCGTGCCCTTCCAGGCTGGGAGGATCACTACATGAACTACAAACGTCTGTGACTCGCACCAGCTAGCCTGCCCTGCCCGTCGGCTGCCCGGCGGCACCCACTGCCTGACTGCCGCGTGTCCCATGCACCTGCTCAGGGCTGAAGCGCATCCTTCGCGCCTGGGAAGGCACGGAACGGTCCGAAACTGCCTCATTGGCCTCCATTCTGAGCCATGATGTTAGTTTGACACCTCATCCCTTGCCCAACGGAACACGACGTCCTTGGAACCTGCTCTCTGCGCGACCCCCTCCTTAACGTTGCAGTGTGATCCCCTCTCAATCACAGAACGATTCCTCTGGCAACGAGGACGAGCTCGAGGATCCCGAAGCCGAATTCTTCTTCGTGCTACAGCGCCAACTGTCCAAGGTTAACAAGTTCTACCTCGAAGAGTTTTCTCGCATCACCATTCGAAAAATGGCCCTCGATGATTGGGTCAACGAGGTTGGTTCACACATTCCCAGCTGGCCGGATGCACTCAACCGCGTCCGTGCCCCATTCTACTTGCCCCGACCTCCTTGCACTTTATGAGGGCAACAGCTGCCTATGTTCTACCGACTCCGTTCCCTTGATCCCTGCCTTCACGCTTGCTCACCCGCATATCCACGCCACAATCGCGACGTTGGTCCTATCGGGCAGTTGCGACTCAGCGTCGCGGTCGGCGTCAACCGTGAGACGGCTGACCACTGCGTCTCCGTGGCCGCTCAGCTCATCGAAGACATGCACAACCTGCAAGAATTTGGTCATCTCAACGTTCGTTGTAGTGCCCGCATACACTTTTGCTGATTCGTCCGCCCCCTCGCACATTTCCCCGTGAGCCAAGCGCGTGCGCTCTTATGCGATGCGCGCTTTTTATCCTTATTTTCGGCTTCGTTTGTTCCGTTTGACACTGTAGTCTGAAGGCTTTCGCAAAATTCTCAAAAAGCTAGACAAGCGCATTGGTACGCAGCACAGCCCGCTTGTCAT